CATGTGTAGGTGTGGGTGTGTGTGTGTAGGTGTGGGTGTGTGTGTGTGTGTGTGTGTGTGTGTGTGTTAAACTCAAAACCTCAAGGGTAAATAATAAATGAAATGAAAACAATACGAAATCTTATAAATTACTAATACCTTCTAACATTTTGGTGCCTGAATGGATTTGAGACTTGTTAAAAGTTCTCATCACGGTAACACACACAGAGATAATCACTCCTACTGCGCATTCTTTTACGCAGGGGTGAATCATACGCCTGGCAGCTCGACCGGGTGTTAAAGGGTCCGGGTGTTAAAGGGCGCGTCAGTGTCTAAGTCGTCAAGGTTTATTGCGCCACACTTGGATTATAGTATACAGTGAAGGATATATTTTTCCTTCATAACTCCTAAGGTGAAGTTCAGATACAATAGATTAACCCTGTTTATACCCCGCCAAAGTTAAAGGGAAAAAAATCTTACGAACAACAGTGCAAGTATAGAGAAATGCCCTAATTACACACTGATAAATAATAATTAACACGACTTAAGTGAATAATAATAATTATAATAACCTCTGTGAATATCTTGTACTTGAAAGTGGAACATCAATGCCATGCTTACTGAGGACAGCTGAGGTAAAGCCTAATTGAAAAAAAAACTGTCCCTAATACTTTTACTTTGTTATTTTAAAGTACTGTATCGGTATCAGTTCCACCACTTACCAGCTAACTGCTATACATCCGGGGTCTGCTAATTTGTTACGGTCTTTAATTGTCGAGTGTTGGTACAGGAGGAAACTAGTGTACCCTTCTCATAATCTGACCTGAGTCGGGACACAGCGGTGAGAGCCAGAGAGGCAAGTATACTAATGACCTAATAGTTTGGGTGTGGTAACCTTATTAGTCTGAGAGAGAGAGAGAGAGAGAGAGAGAGAGAGAGAGAGAGAGAGAGACGCCCCTTTATTACAATACGTACATTACGATGGTGCGGAAAAGCTACTTAAAAGCAGCTTGTGTACATATTACGGGATACAGATTCTTCACTGTGTACTGTTCATAATATGTGATAGGATAATATTTCACCATTGGTCTTGTAAACATAAACACAGGGAGATGAGACAGTTGATCACACGAGAGAGCGCGGCGTCAACGGCCCAACATATTGTACCTCGCAGACAATTTAAATTAATAAAGTTAGCTTCATGACTATTAAGGGTAGCTACCATGCCACTCTTTGTACTTGTTGACACACTGTATCACTCACGGCTTATATTTACTTCAAGCTTACTAAGATTTAATGACTGATTCACCTAGTACCCCTTCACCTAGTACTCCTTTACCTAACCAATTCACCTAGTACCCCGTCTCACCTGACTACTTCACCTAGTACTCCTTCACCTAACCACTTCACCTAGTACCCCGTCTCACCTGACTACTTCACCTTGTACTCCTTCACCTAACCACTTCACCTAGTACCCCGTCTCACCTGACTACTTCACCTAGTACTCCCTCATCTAACCACTTCACCTAGTACTCCCTCACTTGACTACTTCACCTAGTACTCATCATCTAACCACTTTCACTACCTCCCTCTAACCACTTCACCTAGTACTCCCTCACCTAACCACTTCACCTAGTACTCCCTCACCTAACCACTTCACCTAGTACTCCCTCACCTAACCACTTCACCTAGTACCCCCTCACCTAACCACTTCACCTAGTACTCCCTCACCTAACCACTTCACCTAGTACTCCCTCACCTGACTTCTTCACTTAGTACTGGGTGAGGGAGACAAGCATGTGAGCGTGAGAAGGGCAGGGAACAAGTATTGACTGACGAGCCTCTCCTGAATTACTTATCTCGTGAGTGACGGATGTAGCTCTCTCTCTCTCTCTCTCTCTCTCTCTCTCTCTCTCTCTCTCTCTCTCTCTCCTACAGTACTCCCATACCCCACCGTACAACCTACCGGGTACTCCCATACCCCACCATACAACCTACCCCCATACCCATCTGCCCTACCACACAATAAAACCAGTTAATATCAGAGTTTTTAATACTGTACCTGTATTTCTTGTTTTCCAATATACAAGTAATATCTCCGTTAGCTGGAATTCCTCTTAGCCGGAATTGAGATTTGCTTAGACTTTTTTTCTGGAAAATTTATCTAAATTCTGGGTTTGAGAATGATTTTCTGAAGTTAAAACCCAGGTGCATTTTCAGGAAAATTCTGAGAAAATTTTCGGAACCTCTCTCCAAATCCCTATGCTGAATAAAATCATCTGGCAGTAGCGAGAATAAAATAGTAACTGCGGAAATGACAACGGAATAGTTAAATATGTGGGTATTAAATAAGCAAGAACAACAAACAAAATCTGTTCTTGTTTTTTTTTGCTATGACGAGGATTACAGTAGTACAGTACCAACCCTGACTGGTGTGATACAGAAACCCAACTGGACTCTGCCTTCTCGTGGGAGGGTACTGGTGATGACCGTGTTATTCACTCTACGTACTTTGGTTCACTTCAAGGTCAACTGTGATGGCACTCGGGGATTTGCTGATCAATATAGGCATGGTTGACGTGTGAGATGTTTACTCACGCAAGCTTGGCTATCGTGGCCACAAGTGGATAGTCTGTGGGAACCTGAATATGTGGACAGGTCATGTGGATATGAATACTGTTTAGGTGGATAGTTTGTAGCAATTTGAGTATTATGTATGTTAGTGGACAGTTTCTATGGAGGTTTAATACTGTGTGGTTAGGGGGTTTAGTTCAAGTGGACGTGAATATTATGTGGCTAAGTGGATGGTTATAGGAATGTGATTATTGTGTTTTAAAGTGAATATTAAGGAGGAAAGTGGATATTACATATGTACGAGGACAATTTGTAGATTGTAAACATATGTTGTTAAGTGGACAGTTTACAGTACAATTAATTAGGAACTTACAGTTTGCATTTGTGTGTATGTGTATTTGTATATATGATTGTTTGTGTGTATGTAGAAGTGCGTGTGCATGCACATCTGAAAAGTGTTCTTACATGATGTCAGTGCTGACATTCATATCCCAACGACACATCAATACTGATGCGGCGGGGTCGGGGATGACGTCATAACTACTTAATAAGTCAGGGAGTATATCTGACCTTGTGTCACGACCTCTGAGGTGGAGGGTGTGGTTCTAGACCCTAGCAGTGACCTTACGTACTTGGTGCCTCTCAGTGTGGGAGAGGGGGTATACAATATTACAAATCCTATATTGTTATGGCTTGAGTTATAATATAGAAGTCATGCTCTTGAATTTATATTATATATGAACACCCTTTAGGTATAACTTACATACTATGCATGTTTATCACCCCTCAATTGGTTAACTTAGTCATATATCCAATACTAAATACACCTCACCTGTTTTGGCAGTATACTAAATCCCTGAACCAAATATTATGACTGTAAGCAATATAGTGACTGTACCTTTATTGATGTGAAGAGCCAATAGTCAGTCAGGGAATCCTGTATTATTGATAGCCGGGGGACAGCCTGTGACGCTCAAGATGATTTACAACAGCTACGGCTTTACGTCACTCCTGTGAGAGAGAGAGAGAGAGAGAGAGAGAGAGAGAGAGAATAGTGGTTCTGTATATACTAAAGCTCATGGTCAAACTTGTCAACATCAAAATATTTCATCTACACAGTAAAAAATTCAAGCAAAGCACTCAAAATAATAAAACTAGGTAGCTTAGTCATTGATGGTACTGGTACTTTATTGAATCACTATGATTTTGTTTATTGTCTGTTTTAGAGATAAAATATACATGACATCTTAAAGCAATATGTTTATCTTGGTATGAAAATACTGTACTGTACAGTATTGTATATCAAAACTAAACTTAGGTGAAGTTACCACAATAAGATTTCAGACGAGATCCATAACCACTGTTTATTGTTAATGAGGTCAAGACAAAAGGCCCCTTGGATTGTGTTGTAGCTCAGAACATGACCTACTTCAGAAGCAAACATTTGCTTGAATGAAAGTGAGGGGCATGAATAACCAGCCTTACTTTATCTGGTTGAGAGAACATTGTGTTTCACCAAGATACAGTACAGTATAGCAATAGGGCCTAAGCACAACTATGTCATCGTTAATGTTACCGCAGTTAATTCTGGACCAAACCCAGGATAATTATTGTGCAGGTACTTGTAATTTTGCATGAGTGATGTTTAAGGGACATTTTTAAAAATATTCTTTGATTAGAGATAACAAGATTGATGACTTCAGACAATGGCTTATATGTAATGGGTTTTCTGCATGGAAATTGAGTCAAAAGCTAGTTTGATTAGAAGATAGGTCACTTCAAATATGAACCTTCACTCACCGATCAAAAATGTCGACACAGCCATCTAAGTATAAACCTAGCTGAAACGTGCAGTAATTCATGACTTTTTTAAATGAACATTGTTAGCCAATAGAAAGTGGATGCAGATACCCAAACAAGGAAAAACAATGATCTAATATAATCCATAAATGAAAAAATATCCAGCCCTTTTTATTTAATGTACGCAAGTGATATTTGCCTTTGACTGCTATGGCTACTGTCATCACCATGTCATCAATGATTGTACGTACTTTATCTAAATTGTGTTGACAAGTTGTACATTTTGTTAACAGGTGATTGTAGTGATGTTAGTTGTGCACTGTCCTTATCCTCATGTATACACACAGTACTGAACCAATGTTTTGCTCCCCAGCAGGTGCCGGCTGACGGTGGTGATGGGAGCGTGAGGGTGCCCTAGGAGCCGGGTATGAGGGTTGCCCTAAACCTGGCTGCGGCTGCTCACTCCCTCCAGCACTGCCACACACATCAAGACACACTGTGGCTCACATGCCACACACCCCACATAGCTGTACATGGCAGTATATGGCAGAAATATTTGGTGCCTTTGGCTGATACCTTCCGGGACTACAACATCCTGAAAGTGGGGTCTGACAAGCCCCATACATTTGTGACATTTGAGGTCTTAAAAAACCGCAACCATTGATTCCCCAACCACAGATACGGTGGGGTTGGAACCCCCACCGAAGAAGAATTTTTGCAAGAACTGCCTTCGTTTCTACCTCACTGCTTTCTTCACTCTTGTCGCATGTTTCAGCTCTTTCGCATTTTTATTCCTTGTACCATTTATTATAGACCCGGCCTTCTCCACTATCTTTGCTGACTTTGACCCGGAGCCCAGAGTGTGTGTCACCAGGGAGTCCGAGTTTCTTTTTGGCGTAAGTAATTGTTCTTGGTCTTCATGTCGGGAGGGCTGCACCAAGGACGTCTTCCAGTGTTCACACATATTTGTCAATTACAAAAAAGACCTCACTGGCGAGTTTACCAATGTCAATTACACAGATGTCGACCGAATAGACACAATGGAATGGGACATAATCGATGCTAAACTATACCCCAACATCAAAGGATGTGGTTATCCTCCCTCCATCAACTGCACTCTCTTCAACAAGAACTACAGCACACCAGGGAGAACTTTCCCCTGTTACTACTCCAAAGAACAGCCCCTGCTGGTCCTCACTGGTGTTGACATCGAAGGCATCAAGAAAGACCTGATCTACGCCATCATCATACCTTGGGGATGCTTTCTGGTGTCCGTACTCTACCTCCTCCTTACCTACGCTGGAATGAGGAAGCCAGATGCCGAGGGTGACCAGCCACAGGAGGTTAGTTCGGCCAAGGCATCAAAGGAAGCCTCCAATTATTCCCTACGGTCCATTGGCAAGACCATCAACCAGGGAATGAACAAGCTAAGAGGCGAACCCGACGACAAAGGGTGAGTATTTGCTCAATATTTTGCATTGTGTTGCACATGTTAACATAACAAGTGGTGCTGTTTGTTTTTATTATTTTAACACTTTCACAGTTGTCACTTTTGATTTTGTCATGTATTATAATCACAGAACTTGTCTATAAATTATTGACAGATTTTTGGTTATTCATGATATTGAAATATATCAAGTAAATCAAACATGATATACTAATTCCAATGGAATAACTGATTGACCAAATGCGATACTAATATATCATTCTCCCATACTAAAAACGTATATTATCTTCACATTAGAGAGTAGCTTCACCCTGAGTGTTTGACATCTTCTCAGTAGTTCCTCTACCGACAAATTACGTGTCCTAAAGTACTGAATGAACACTTATGCCCCCATAGAGCAGCACACCAAGTGGTGGCAGTGTGTCAAGCGTAGTCATTTGTTTTGCTGGGTGTTAAATAATCTTAATTCCCCATCCTAATCCTCAACTTATATATGTATATGAATATATATATATATACTTGTATATGTATATAATTACAGACACACACACACACACAGTTTGTAACTATATAAACCATGTATAAATATGCATGTGAATCTATTTCTATGTATATTTGTACACAGTAAATTAAAGTAGAATCCTCGACCTGCAAATAACACTGAACAGATCGTTGGTATGGGCCCTTGACCAGCAGCCTACTTTAATTGGCTCTACTTATTTTACAGAACATTTGTATGACCAGCGTAGTGGCTCTTGGGGGTGGTGTTGTTGCCACAGGTAATTAGTTACTGTTGTGGATACAAGTAACAGTTGAGTGGTGGTTACTTGCCTGTGTCTCTTTGGCCGAGCAGTAGGAAGGCAATCCGTGCTTCTCTATGCTGAGCCGATCAGCATGCCCGTACTTATAGTAAGGTAGCAGCCGTAGGACAAACTCTCAGTAATCTGCTTACTACTATTAGATCATTCACCTCTACTTTGGGCGCAATGTCTGCGAGATAAATATATATTTTTTATGTTACTTTTAAAATGCTTAGTATGAGATTAAATATATGCACCTTAGACTGACTTGTACTAGTGTCGTATGCATTCTTCAAATCATTAATGGAACCCGCAAAACAAATGACAACCGTTCTAGTCTACCACAAACACAACTGATGAATATCAGTTAAAAAATCTGAAACGTACTTGACAACAAATTATTTGATATTTTGCAGTTATAGGCATACGGGTTCATGCATACACCACCGAAAGAAAGGCAAGAGAGAGTAAAACACCAGAAAAGGGGGGCTAAGTCACCAAAGAATAAGGACAGGTATGGTTTGTGGATCCCTCTTTCTCCCTCCCTGATGGCTTGTACAGTATGTAGTTGTTCTTCCTAGTGCCAGCCAGCACGCCCTCTCTCGCGCATGGTCCATTTTTTTCTTCTTTATCTGTCTTCCTGTCTTATATATCAACTTAAACCTTTTCTCTTTTTCACCTACCACATATTCCTCTGTTTGAATGATCATGTGTAGTATAGGAACTTCCCATCCACTGTGACACAAAGCATACCTGCCTCAACTAGAACTAAGGAGTTTTCAGATCATGCTATGCCTAAAATATCCTAGCCCAGGTGAATAAAATGTTATAAAGCCTTTCTTTCTCAGACGCATTGTAGTGTTTCGTCAAATGCGATATGCTTAACAGCCATTTAAAAGGCCACATCTACTCCACAGTTGGACTAGAGATTCCTAGCTGTGTAAACAATACGAAAAATCTAGAAGCTTTCCCCCCCCCCCCACCCGTGTCATTTAGCACCATTTGCTTTACCCGTTATCACCGCTCGCGCACTGTCTCATTCTGCAATCTGTATACTATTGTTGATGGGTATTTGGTTGCACATGCAGCACTGTAACACCATATTTTGTTTATTTGTTTTATCTCCCTTCTGTCTCATCAAACTTTATGTATCCTCTTTCAATTTCCAGGTCTCTCTCTCTTCTCTCTTACGAAAATGATTATGACAATGACAATGATTCTAGCTATTGAGGGGACAAAGTGAGTAACTGTTTGCTTTGCAGCAACCAGCTTGCCTGTATTTGCATGCTGGATAAGGCCAAGCTTTGTATGATACAAATGAATGGGTGTTTCTAGTCAATGTTCAGCATGCCTGCTCCATCCTTCAGCATAAGCCTCTGAACTTGTATTCTGTCACAACACCCAATGGTAAAGAGTTACAACAATAGGCTGTATCTCGTATTGTCACAATGTATACAGGTGCAGGGGGTGTTGTGATAGTTTGTGATCACTGGTATGGTGACTACTGCCCCTGGACGTGTGTCCCTTCTTCCATGGTGGTCCTCTCCCCCCCTCGCCCCAGCACGTAACCCATCCCACCAATTCACAACGTTGAGGGGGAGGGATGGAGTGCGACTTGTTACTTACACTTGAACCTCAGAAAAGTGTTTACATTGAAAATTACTAATGAACTGACACTGGTAGATTATTTTGCATTCATGTCCCGGTGAGTAGCTTTAGGGTAGACATTATTAAGGCCTTCTCATTCAAAGTACTGTACTCTGTAGTACAAATGTAGACGGAATTTTTTTCGTGCCACCAAATATCTGTGTTGGACTCGTGCATTTCTCAACTAATACAAGAAAGTTCATGCAACTATCTTGCTGGTGAATGTTCATCCTTATATAAAGACAAACTCTCTTGGATCATCACTGGCAGAGACTATCCGTACGTGAAAATGTCAGGGGCTCTATAGTAATGTAGAACAAAAAATGAAATCTTAAATCAAAATAATTATGCAAAACAATACAAAACCAATTCGAATTCATGAACTTCCTTTGGATATAGTGTAGTCAGACTTAATTCTACTACACTTAAGATGCCATAAAAAAATTCTTATAACCTTTAAAGTATATTTGGTTAAATTTGCAGCAGTGAAGTGATGTGAAAGATCAAACTCTCAACAGTACAGTACACTGTACACAAGGGTTTCACGAACGGATGGCCACCAACCTCAAAACAAGACATAATGCCATATGCATCTTGGAAATTTGTTTTGTTCTAATTATGTTTCTCTAACACCATTCACTTGAGAAACTGCCCTTCCTCAAGACTGACCAAAAGCTAACTAAGGTACTCCAGCCCTTACACAACCTGGTGGGCTACTACGTGATCCATTCCCCCAAATGAGAGATCACGGTCTTAAACGAGTGTGTCATTACTATTTTCCCCGATTCTTTTTTTCATTGAAGTTGTATTTACTTCCAACACAGACGTTTTGTGATATCACATTACAGTATACCTGATTTTTTAATTACAGTACATAGATTTCTGTAGAATAATTTGGTCGAAGTACAGTACATACGAGTAGATACAGTATCTGTAGACAAGATGGGATCATGTGCAACTGTTCATGTATGGGACATGGTGACTTTGCTGTACTGTACTGTAATGCAATAGTGCCACTGTATTATACGGTATTTTGTCAAATTATCTTTGCTTGATTTAAAACCATAAATAGCCTGGTTTGGTATTACAACTACTACCTGCCTTTAATATGATAGATTAGGAAATGAATTTCTAATATAATTCAATGCCATTTTTTAAAATAAACATTACATATTTTGCTGTAAACTTAGCTCGTTTCACACTCAGCATGAATCACTATTGAATATTTTAATGCAGATTATGAATCAAATTTTGTTTAGCATGCATGAAAAGAGATATAACTATCAATCATACATATTAAATGGCAACACTATGGTTGATAGAATATAACTATCAGTCATACATATTAAATGGCAACAATATGGTTGATAGAATATAACTATCAATCATACATATAAAATGGCAACACTATGGTTGATAGAAATAGTTTCATATATTCTATCAAAATCTTATATGGCATATATACCTTAAATATAACTATGCACAGTGATAATCAGTAATTTAATTAAGTATTTCACTGTGATTTTCAAAACATATTGATAATGAGACGCACATACGTTATAACCAACTGCGTCATGCAGCTTTCCATCAAATAGTTGTTTGTAACTGCTTGTGAGGCAGAGCAAAAGTGTAGCTAGGCTGCTCTAGTCATACGCAACCAGCACAAAAACTGGGCTGGCGTTGTTGTTGTTGTTGTTGTGGTGGTGTTTTGGTAACGGTGGTGTTGTGGTTTAGCGGGCATGGAGGAGGAAACGGTGGAGGCGTTCTGAGCGGGTTCAAACGCGGACAGCTTACTTCGCACTCCATGTTGGGTCCCAAACTACTGCTGGCGCCCGCGTCTCTTCCGCAAGTCCACCCCACCCGCCGTACCACGCTGCCCCCCCTGGAGAGGACGCCGCCCCTGCCTAGACCAGCAAGGTGATCCTTTCCCTCCTCTCAGCTACCCAACCTAAGCTTATGCATGTTACAAATGCAGCAACTGACCCAGATTATGAAAACTACTTAATGGTGTATATTCAGAACACAGCACAATATCTTTTAAATTTTGTCTCATTTGTATCTTGAATATCATTACTATCATCTCTTATTTATTTTCAAGATTACAGATGGATGGAAATGCACCATCTTATATTATTCTTGAAGAGGATGTTATTTATATTTTGTGCTGTGAACTAATATCACTGGAAATTCAAATTCCTCAATATGGTTTACCTTCATATCCTCAGCCCTTTTCCCATCATTCTATTAATAAAGGCAGAAACAGTTCTCAGTCTTTAGAATCCTATTCTTCTTGATGAAGTTGCTGGTGGGTTGAATTATGTCGGTGTTTCTGCATGACAATCTTTTACCTTGACCACAGATTAGTTATCGTATTGGATTGGAAACTTTCTCATGATTGGAAGATTAAAACAAGTTTACTATTGCAAACTGCATCAATGTGTGCCACATCTTATCAAACCTTGCTTGAAATATGCACCCTTGTTGAGTTTTTAATCCTGCTGGTAGCTAAACACTTAATTCCTTACTCGTGCATCTTTCCCCTATCCTGCGGCTCATGGTTGGTCTCCCATTTTCAACTGGGGATAAATCCACAGCTTGTTTCCCATGTTACCTCTAACTGTTGAGAGTTATTTCAAGTTCCTCATTGGTGTGAACTGAATACAATACAATTCTTGTTGTCACATTGTTAGTAACAGTTGAACCTGAAATTTTGTATTGAGTGTTCTGTGCTCAGAGGAAGTACAATACTGTACTAGTACATGAAGTACCACAGGGCAGTGTATTGGCCCGCTGTTGTTTGTTTGTTTCATAAATGACATGCGTGACGTTGTACACTCCTCCATACAAATGCTTGCCGATGATGCCAAGTGACTTCGGGAAATCAAGAACCAAGCGGACTCTGAAGAGCTGCAGAAGGACCTCTGTGGGCTCCAAGAATGGTCGAAGAAATGGCTGCTGAGATTCAATGTCAAGAAGTGTAAGAGGATGCACCTGGGGTGTACCAACAGTAAGGAGGCGTATCATATGTCCCAACGGGATGAAGAAACTGCACTATTTGAGACTGAATGTGAAAAGGACCGAGGTGTGTATGTTGACAATGAGTTGAAGTTCTCGGGCCATTGCGAGAAGAAGGTAAACGAGGCAAATAAATTATTGGGTCTTATAAGAAGGTCGTTCAGATATCTAGACGGTCTGTCCCTTGTAACGATCTTCAAGAGTGAAATGCTTCCCCATCTGGAGTACTGTCACCCCGTCTGGTCCCCGAGATATGCTAGGGACTGTCAGTTGGTTGAAAATGTTCAAAGGAGGGCCACCAGACTGGTGCCTGCACTTCGGCACCTCAGCTACCCTGAGAGATTGGAGCGCCTGAACTTGCCTAGCTTATACTACAGACGGGCAAGGGGAGACCTAATTGAGGTGTATAAGCATCTCAAGGGGTACTACTCAGCCGAGTGTCCTTACTTGGAGCTGGCAGATGCTCGCCCCACAAGGGTTCACAGCTCAAGATTGAAGAAACCGCAAATCCAGAAAACTGTGAGGGCAAACTTTTTCGGAGTGAGGGTTGTGAACTCTTGGAACTATCTGCCAGAAAGTGTTGTGACGGCACCGAGTGTGAGCTCTTTCAAGACAAGACTTGACCAACACTGGAGCGGGTTCAGGTACATTCAGGAGCCCAGCACTTGCCAACAGTGCGTAACAGAGACGTGACCGATCCTCCAAGCGGCTAACGAGCTGATCTTTTGGTGAAGAGGATAAAAGAAAAGGAAAAGTAATCAGAAACGTGACCGATCGCCCAAGCGGCTAATGAGCCGATCAGTGGTGAAGAGGATAAAAGTAAAAAGAAGGGGTCCAGTTTAAACAGTCCATTAGAGTTCATCAGTGGGTGTTGTGTTGTCAGCTCACACCACTAGTAGAGTGTACAGTAGCTAAAACAACTATCTATGCAGGTGGGGGTCGATATGCTCCGAAATTTTACGTGTTACTAGTGACAGCCCCCTATACCAAAATTTATGGTCCATGTTCTCATATTGTTTCCCACAAAGTATGCACAGATAGTTGTTTTAGCTACTATACATACACTTGTCTTCTTACTCTACACTTTCATGAATATATTTTGCTTGTCTTTTTACCATGCTGTACCTTGACATTCATTAATTTCGTGTACTGCATTCTTACTCTTGATTGACAATGAAAATTTTGCTACAGGTATTCTTTTAACTATAGACTGACTGTTATAAATATCCCGACTGACTTCTCTGGTATATGACATGGCTATGTTGTGCATGATAAGTGATGCTTTAGCTTTGCAAATCTAGTTGACAAAACTCTGTGTTGGACAAATTTTTAGTATGACTGATATTACAAATATACCTCTCTCTACCCCTTGGTACTTGGCAGTGTCCTCGCCTACTACTTCAGCATGACAAGTCTTTTATATATACAGTACTTGTATATAATATTTACTCTCAAGTGATGTTCATTTTACCCTCTTGACATATTTGTCCTTTCATGAACATATTTGATGAATTTGTTGAAAACTTCCATGTTTTCCAATGCACAGTTTGTTGACTGTTGTACATAACCGCACCATGTGCACGAGTGTATTTTCCATGTGTGGTGTTCAGCCAGTGTGCACTGTGTCTCACTTTTCTTTCTCTTTCAGTGTCTTCTAATAATGTATTTTCATACTATAGGTCGGAAACATTCTCACTGTCCCACCAGGTTTGTCAGCTCAATGAACAACTCACTTTAAGTCTTCCTCTATGCCTTCAGACCTAATGTCTGAATTTATGTCAAATCAGAACATCCCCTTCCAGGAGAGCCCAGTCTTACAGTGCATGCTTATTATAGTCTCTTATGGCGAGATCTTCCTTTATCAGAAAACTCAAACTGTCAATGTTAACAAACTATACTATACATAACTTGTGTGACCATCTCCATTCTCCACTCCTTGTACAGTTTTCAGACATGAAACAAAAATTACCTAATTCACAATATCTTCCTTGGTAAAACATTAAAACTATTGGAAATATTTGTGTTAAGCTTCCAAACATTCTAATAAGTTTTCAATGAATCAGAATGGTCAACAGCCAAACTTATCAATTCACCTAAAGTTTGGATTAGTTCAAATTGCTCTTCGAACACAACATTTATTTGAAAGAAGAAATATGATCAACTTGACCTTCATATAAATCACTCAACATAACTAAATTATATCACTCGTCAGATACACTCGTTTGTCCCGTTTGTTTTTGACACCGGGTAATCCACGGCCTTCTACATCCCCAACTTCATCAAACTGTCTCTCAACCTTTAGTATAAACCCTGGGTCTTCCTTGTGTCCTGGCATATCTGTACCTATTGGTTATGATATAATGTTTCAGTTTGTGATGTGTCGTAAAATGTTTCAACTTTAGGCGTTTTGTGGTAGAAATTTCCTGGGTGTGAAGGAGGCTAAAGACCCCTAATGTCTGGGAAAAGCTAAAGGAAGAAGAAGGTTTCAGCAATGGACACTTTTGCTACACTTTACCAGTGTAGTATACTCTACTGTATTTATCTCTCTAAGCATACTGTACTACTGCACCATGGCTATTTTCCCTTTCTCTCTCCATTGTCTTCTCTCAATGTCTTTCAACTTATTATCTCCCTGATTTCCTCCTCTTCACACTCTCTCACCCTCTACCTATCTCTATATTTTCATGCTGCCTCCTTCTCCTTACTATTTCTGTTTTTCTATATCCACCTTTCTCTTATTTTTTATTCAGCTCAGTACATGTATTCATCTGTCTCTATTTCTCAGTGAGCCTTGGCAGGATAACAATACAGTACTGTGTAATGACTACCTTCCTGACATTCTAAAAATAACCTTTACCATGTCCACACATCTCCCTCTATTTTTATATCCCTAAGTTATCTTTTTGGGGATTGTTAATTTTGTTGTTCAATGCTAAATATGTTCTCTAAACCCTAAATAAATGAGTTTGGTTATGGTAATAGAGGTGTTGGTGGTACGGTGTTAATGTGCGTATCTTTCACACTGTGCCACGGGTTCAAGTCAGGGTCCAAACATCGCAGATTTTCTCCTCGTACTCTGGTTTCCTCCTGTACCAACACTGGGCAATAAAGATCATAACAAAGAACAAATGAACTGTTCGAATGGCTAGTAAGTTGATAAGTGGTGGAATGATAAGTAATGGAACAGCTTTATGGAGTGACAACACTAAAATATGTTATTGTCGGTTGTTTCTGGAGAGGCACAAGTACCCAGTAATAGACTGACATGATTTGTATGCCCATGATTTACCCCTGTACAGTACATCCATTTGTATGAAATTTACTTCTGTGCAGTAACTTGGGAAAAATTTGTACATCAAGTTGAGATTTAATTGCGGAGTTTCCAAAACCATTTTATCCTTCCTTTTTATACCCTTTTCAGCTTAAACAACATATATACGGAGTATTTTTTTCTCCGTTATTAAGCTGGTCAACCATAATGAAAACCTTATCAATTTATTTCTATTTCTTTCTTCACCTTTTACTGAAACACCGAAAAGGAAACATTTCAGATACAGTAACCGTGATTATCTGCACTCTTACCTTTTGTCATTAACCAACACTTCACAATTAAATTAGAACAGTAAAATGGATATTGGGAGATATGATCCATGTTCCTTATAGAAGTAATTGACAGAAAGTTTAATAGGCTGCAGTTATATACCCGATAGCCACCACCAAACTAGAAAATGATTTTTTTTTTAAGGTAAATACATTTACAGTCAGAAGATAAGAGTGTTATCCATTTCAGCTATGGACCAACGTTATATCGTGTGCCGATACCCAGGTAATTGTATCTCTGCTCACGTAACCTGTGATGGCAATTCTCGCTTAACTTTTGCCTGTTTGCACTCTTAAGATTAACACAACTTCACAATTTATTTACCACTGTGATGGTAATATTCTCAAAGCCCTCTAGCGTTGTGAGCTGACCATACACCAAATAATATGTATCATATTCTCAACAACTTCCAGTTATGTTAAACACTTGTCTTACTTTTTAAGATCAAAGCAAAAATATTTCAACTTAACCAAAGTACTGTACAGTAACTCAACTAATCTAATTTTATGAAATTTACTTAGTGCCAGTGAACTTATCCAGTGTACAGGGTGTTTCATAGGTCTCACACCAAAGGAAAATTAATGTTTTTCTCACTTTTTTTTATTTCATTTGAGGGAATTATAACAAATCAATAAAGATTGAGAGAAAAGGACCAATTGAATGGGCACCAAGGTCTCTGGACTTCACAGCTCTCGATTTCTATCTCTGGGGTCACCTAATATCTGTTGTCTGTCAAGATCATCTGAGAACCATGTATTGTAGGTGACCTCAGAGGAAGAAATTGAGGTGTGTGAGTTCTGGAACCTTGGTGCCTATTTAATTGATTATGAGTCCTTCACCTGAAAAAGAAAAAAAAGACAACACTAATTTTCCTTTGGTGTACAACCTATAAGACACTGTGTAGTTTGACCAACCTAATCTAGTTTGACCTAATGTAACTAAACGTACTTAATGTAGTTTGACCAACTTAAACTTTGCCTAACTTTACATAACCAACTAAACCTCATTTAGTTTGACCAAGCTAACCTAACCTAACTTTACCTGAAGGAATATCAAAAGAGCTGTTTATTGGCAAGTACTGTACTACATACTATTTCTTTACTGTGTTGTATGCTCACAGCACTAATGAATGGGTATGAAACTCTCTCTCTGGCTATATGACTCCTTGTTAACCTAGCATGGTTGTGCAGTGTGATTAACAACCACAATCTTGCAATGCAACAGCAATTTGCAGCAGCAACATATCCTCCCGAGTAAGTCTCTCCTCAGCAGCATTTACTCGTGAATTCCTCGTTTAAAAGTTAATCTACAACTTAGAAGTTTATAACCATTATATGGACGACTAAATAACCAAATATATGAGATTAATTTCAATCGGATAGAGAGGCAAAATGTGCATTGTTGGAAAGCTATTGTGAACAGGACCACCAAAATGTTTACTTTTCAAATGACGCACACCAACCAAACAGTTATCTAACCAAAATTACCCTTGGACTGTTAAGTTTCTTTTGTGTCATGTTAGAAATACTTAAATAGTGGTCCTGTTTGTGGTACATTTCTAATCCTGGAAACTTTTCAAGATGGGTTCATAAATTTTGGACATTGAACTACCGAAGCATCATACACAGGAAACGGTAACCCTCCACGAATAATATACCGTAGTTGTCGTAATGTGTGATAAAGGGATTCAATTGAATATCAACTCGCTTCAATTGACCTATATCAGTAGAAAATGGGCAGTTTAATATTTAGTTGAATGTTCATCAGTTTTTTTTTATTACAAGAATATTTGCTAGTAAACATAGTAAATGAGAAAATTCCTGACATAAATAAAGCACACTGGCCACAATACATTCTGGTAGTATTATACGAAGACTCAAATTCATGTAGTTGCCCTCCCTCCCGCCCTCCCCTTCATGAAATATTTAAAAAAAAAAAAAAAAATGCACAATTCAACCGGCAATGCCAATATGGTACCGTATATGTGTTAAAAAAAACAAGTACATTACTGTAGTTCTTTGAGACTGCTATTATACATAGCATTACAGTTCAGTACTAACAAATACAAAATGAATCAAGATATTATTCCCTTCTAAGTAATTGAAATATGGCTCTTTACTCCTGTTACATGTACTAGTGCTGTAGTACAGTGCTACTGTATTAGTATTACAGGACTGAAAAGTAGTCTATTTAGTTGTCTCAAAGAACTAAAATTACAAGTTATGACTCGTCAGCCATTTACACGGTACTGTATATTATTTTATTACCTTAAAAGATTAATAAGTTCAGTAGGTACAACCCTTAATACTGTACACTGTACTTGTAAATTTTCTTATGATTTCCAAAATACATAACATAACCAGTAATGTGTGTGCCTCTCACTACTGTGTCCTGGGTCAGATGTGAGAAGGTTGTTATCCTTTTTAACCCCACCAAACATCGCAGGTTTTCTATAGGTAGTCCAGTTTCCTCCTGTACTAACACTGACATGGTTAGTAAGCTAATAAGTGGTGGAAATGATAAAATATAATAAAAATAGAGCCACCACTTACATGCACTGCTTGAACAAATATTTGAGATTCAGTATATACAGTACATATTTTATCACTGGGTCTCTCTAGTGCTGTTTACTTCCCATCAACAATAAGAATTCTCAAATTTGACAGTACAAAATGTAAAACTCTTAGGAGATTAATATTGTGAAGATAACTTTTGGTATACAGTACTGTACAGTATTTTGATGAAAATTTCAATTGCTACATTTTTTATTATTTCTCACTTTCACATGGACTACAGTGCTTTAACAGTTTCAGCAAGCTAAATATCCCCAAGTAAAATCAGAAAATGTCACTTTTTCATGCATAGCCAACATGAACAAGAATAATAGTGACAAATACAGTATATCTGTAGTATTAAGTGAAGGCAACCTCATGTGTCAGGGTGAAGGTTTTGCCTCACAGTTGTCACTTGATATTTCTAACCACAATTTATGGATTTCTCCGTGTCGTGCAGCCAAACATGAACCTTCACTAGTTTCTCGATTCTAGTGATTATCAGGTGCAGTACAGTATATACCCCCTGTACAGTATATGATGTATCGGCTCTGGTTTACGTAAATATTTTACGCTCTCTATCTAGCTTTTAAAAGTATTAATCGTACTGCATATTACTCCTATAGAAACGTTTACTTTATTATAACCTCGATATGCATTAACTCAATAACTCGTCCTTACGAACATGATATAAATTAACAAAATTTTTGTTACAGCCCCTAGAATGCACCTCATACGAGACACATTAATTAGAAGTGATATTGGTGCCAAGTTTCTACAGTAAGTGTGCAGTCTAATAATGTCTTCCCTCTAGCACCAACATTTATTAAACTCTTCATAAACCACATCACCCATGCATGCTCCTGAAGGCAAGGTTCAGGGCTCATGGCTCCCTGATACTGACTTGACCTTCTTCATCACTTCTCAATTTTTAAATCGTCACAAAACTTAAACATTTATTTGTGAATATGCATGAAGGATGCGCTGGAGATTGGTTTTCATTCTACACTCAGGATGCTATACTGAAAAGAACAGTTGAATGGGTATGTTTGTGCTGATCAGACAATGTTTTTGGTTTTGAGTTTTTTAACTCCGAGGAAACCTGTTGACACCATCTGCCTCAAATTTTAAATGTAATCCCTCAATATACCCTGTAAAATAAATATGTATATACCCTGTATATATATATATACCCGGTATATATATATATATATATATATATATATATATATATATATATATATATATATATATATATATATATATATATATATATATATATATATATATATATATATATATATATATATATATATATATATAATTGGTAGTGTCTTCTCCTCTTCCTCAGTCACAACTTTTCATTTCTTATCTGTCACAAATCTTAAGATGCAAGCTGCAGATTCTTATAAGTATTCTGAAGAGACTCATTCATCCAAAGTACATATATACATACACTTACTCACTCTTTCACTTACTCCACTCACTCACTCTCACTCCACTCATTGAAGCTTTTTGCTGCACTGGTGAAGGTTGGCCTCATTCTAAAACACGCATACCTCTGTCATTTCACGCAGCCAATCACCACTTGTCAGCAGCCCATCCAACACAATTGACCACTGCCCACCAAGTTTTCTCATCATACTCAACACAACCTCCCTCTTAGTCTTAGCCTCTATCATATAATCTACTCTTGAAATATTAACTGTTTATCCATTTTTTCCCTCCCATCTCTCACTATGTCCATCATACCTTAAGAAACTCTAGTCTAAAACTTCTTTCCTTTCCACATATTGTACTGTACCTATAAATATATACTGGGGAAATATGAAGTTAGGTTATGGTTCATTGTCACATTGCTTAAGTATATTCAGTGACAGTGTGTAGTGAAGCATATCAATGTGTCTTCTGTTTGTTAAAAAAATCTGGGAACATGTTGTTAATGCAATAAGTATTATGAGTGATGTGTCAAAACATTGTCTGATGGTGGCAATTAACCCTCTGTGCACCATATGCTATAATCCGAGTGATAGATTATAGTGTTTGATCATATTATAATAAGGTTGTTGTGACTCATACAAGAACAGTGTCTTGTGGAATCAACTCCAGTGTCTAAAATATTGAGAAAAAAAAGTCCAACGCCTTTTAGAATTTTCAAGTGGTGTGAGGTTTAATGTCAAAACAATAAAATTATATACTGTACACTAACAAAAACAATTTGCTAAGGGTTTGAACTTTCTACACACAAATTTTAAAAATGATGTGTGAATTTTTGTGAGTAATTTTCTGAGCAGCATGAACTAACAGATGATTCTTCCTAAGGTGTAGCATTATGACTCAATTAACATTCCTATGCTATTTTTATCAGTTATCATTAGTTTTGTAACACAACTGTAAAGATAAACACTCAGCTTTTGTCGAGTATGAAGCTCAGACCACTTGGAATATATTAAGATGCCGCTCAACTGGCATCCTCTGTTGCACTACAATATGCTTGCCCAAAGATCTCTCGTATTTCTGTTCATTTTCGTGATAGTATTAGGAGTATGTCAACATTAGCCGTGGTGATAGTGCATGAAACAATCTTTCAGTTACAAGAAGGATGTTTCGGCTCCAAATGTAAAACCAACAGTGCAGTACTTCAGGTTGGAAATTTCCTAACCAAACCAGATTAAGATCTCTTGGACCGAAGCTTTTTCTCAGTGTGATAATCTCTCCAGCATGCCGATATTTCTTGGAAAAATTTATCAACATCTTCGACAAAAGAATGTGAGGTTGAACGCATTAAAGCACTAGAGAATGATTATGTCTGATGTAATTTGCCTCAAGTGCAGCAAGCAGTGTAGAAGGTGGACTTATTAGTATCAATACTTTTCTTTGCACCCACAGGCAAAGTGATTATTACAACACATTAAACCCTGGATTACCTTTGTCGAACCTTTAAGTGACTTTGTAGTTTAGTATCTATGCCAAACCTAAAACAGCACTCAGTTTAATTATTTCTTGACAAAACATAAATCATTCTTTAGCATGAATTAAATAAACCAGTTATGACTTAAGTAATTGATATGGAAAACTGTATGTGTACCCTGGGTAGGTGGTCTACTCCAAGTGGGGCATGAAACTGTCTGCTCTAACACAGGCCACCAATGCCTGTTCACTTTTACACCTCCATGTTAGAGCAGGTAGTTTCATGCCCCACTTAGGGTAGATTGCTGACCTGCGAGGTACACGCACATTTGTCGATCTTTGGAAGATGGAAAATTATGTTGTGCAGGGCATAGTTACTCCTTGTTGATGCAATGTTGTGATGTCTTACCCTTTAATGAGTGATGTGGAATGATTAGGTGAACCTCTTTTCAATCTTATTTCTGTTCCATATAAAATAGGAGGAAAAGATAACTAAACCAAACAAGTTTCCAGAAATATCCCACAACACAATGATATGAAGACAGTACTGCAATTGGAGTTAGTGTAACATCTTGTGCTACTGAAAGGGCTATAAGCACCTTGGATAAGAAGATTTTATCAGAGAAATGAAAAAGATGAATCATAATTCGCAGAACATTTCTACTGTAGCAACCTTACGAATGCCAGGTTCATTCTTATATTCTTTCTCCTTACAATTGCTACCAATTTGTGCCAAGAATATAGCACATCACCAGACTTGACCAACACTGGAGCAGGTTCAGGTACATTCAGGAGCCGGTGCATGCCCAGTACTTGCCAACAGTGAGTAACATGGACGTGACCGCCTAAGCGGCTGAAGAGTATGGTGAAAGCACTACCATTATAACTTCATAGACAAGTGAAAAAAGGTCAACCTGTAGCACTGTGCATTGCAGGATTTATTGAGAGATCCTAAGAGTGACGTTCAACTTACCAGAAAATCTCTTTATCCAGTATATCTCATCCCCCATAGGTGCTGGATAACTGGGATTCTACTGTACTGTACTGTACAAGCAAATCTAGAATAGCATGACAAAATAATGATAATAATTACAGTATATGGATTACTGGTACTCACAACATATTTTCAGAAACAGTATTGACAAACACTATTAGAATATCTAGACTTTAATGATCTGTACGATATCTTATTTTTTCCAAAATATTGTACCGGGAAAACTGAGAATCATCCTGTGATATACAGTAATACTGTATCCTGGATCAGATTCTAAAGGAATCATTAGTTTACACCTAGAGTCACTGAAAGAAGATGTAATTTCACAGGTTATTGATTTTGCATTGCATTTTAGAAAATGCTTTGAAAGACAGATATTAGTGGCATGGGTCATTGATTCTTTTAATATTACCGGTAAATACCTGTACTATACAGTGTAGTTTTAAAAAGTTAATTATAACCCCATTATATCACGCGTTATTAATTCTTGCAGCGTGTTTAAAAAATTGCAAAGAACAGGCCAGTTGTGTAAAACTATCAGTTATTAATCCCTACTCTACTGTATATGAGAGATACAGCACAGAATACTTAAGAGTCATCCAGGGAAGACACAAACTGGCCAAAGTTACCGTAATTATTAGGACTGAACCTTAAAATATCTCTACAACAACACTAATGATGACTTGACTCTTCCAGCAGTCACAGGGAACCAACTGAAACCTCCTTCCAAGAGGCTGAATTTGCGGAGAGACCCTTAACATGAAGATTGGGCCAGGGAGGACGAGCTGATGGCAAAGATGGTGTTCGAAGATTCTGAAGATGATGGTGAAGATGAAGATGGTGAAGATTGTACAGTAGTGGAGTATTTGTAAAGATGGTGCTAGGAGGTATTTGAGATGGTGAAGATCGCATTAGCAAGTAAGGATAAAGGAAGAAGGGAAAGACAGGTCAGAAAGACAACAATAAATGAGGGAAAGGAGGATGGTGTGAAAAATGGTAGCGATGGTGAGGAGGTTGTTAGTGGATAGTGAGTATGGAAGTGAAAGTGATAGAAGATAGTGAGGCAACAGAAGACAGTGAGAAAGTTCCTTGAAGGTGCTGGAGATAAGACCTGGAGGTGGTTCAAGGTGCTGGAGATAAGACCCGAAGGTGGTTCAAGGTGCTGGAAATAAGACCCGGAGGTGGTTCAAGGTGCTGGAGATAAGACCTGGAGGTGGTTCAAGGTGCTGGAGATAAGACCTGGAGGTGGTTCAAGGTGCTGGAGATAAGACCCGAAGGTGGTTCAAGGTGCTGGAAATAAGACCCGGAGGTGGTTCAAGGTGCTGGAGATAAGACCCGGAGGTGGTTCAAGGTGCTGGAGATAAGACCTGGAGGTGGTTCAAGGTGCTGGAAATAAGACCTGGAGGTGGTTCAAGGTGCTGGAGATAAGACCTTAAGAAAAAGTTATGAAGTGAAAGGTGATGGAAGAAGTTATTGAATGGAAGACGATGGAATATACAGACGTTAAGGAACGAAAGATGAAGAAAAGGTATGGGAATGGAAGATACTTGAAGTTACAGAATTAAACAAAAATAAAAACAATTATAAAGTATACCAAGACTAAAAACTTTGAAATGTTAAAATGTACAGAGCTGGGATCCTGAAAGTGCTCACAACTGTTTTCTACCCTTCACAAGCCAAACACCCCGACAACAAAGACACCGAGAGTCAAGTACTGTAGTAGCTTTTTATTATCTACCATAGCAAGATTTATAGATAGCTCTGAGAGAGAGAGAGAGAGAGAGAGAGAGTATTTAGGACAGTGTTATTATAGTTTGTTAAAAATAGAAAGAGGGTTAAATAAGACATATAAATGACAAGACCTACAAAAGCTACAGTGTAAGGAGTAATTAGAATATGTAATGGTATATTTATATATCTAGTGTCTTTTAAAACTTGGGATGGAGAAGTTTTAAAATAGTTACTCTCGTCTTCACATTCGGTACATCCTGATTTAGCTATAGCTGAAGGAAGCTCTATCCCTCGTTTGGTTGTCACCAAGTCTGGTATGTTATGGAAATAAATTCACAGACTGAAATTTCATCGCTTGGATTTGTAGTTCTATCTCCTGCTATGTGTTGATAAATAAGTGTCATCTAAGAACACCAAAGCATCCCAGACTTGGCAAACATCCACCTGCAACTCTCATTATACTTGCTGTTCTCCATGTACTGTTTAACTAGGTGATATTCTGTCTTCTACCTCTTTGTCACCCCTGGCCATCCGCCCCTCCCTCAGGCCCTGACTACAGTGAGACAATAACAAGCATTGCATGTATCCAACAGCTACTTGGAAGTGAGGTTTCATGTATTATTATTAGTAGTAGTATGCAGTAGATTTCTCAGTGATGTGCTGATGAATATTTAGGATGAGTCATACCTAGTATTCATCAGTGAGTGACAGAGAAAACATTTTGTTGTAGGTTCATGGAATAATAGTATAATTTCAGTTCAAGAGATCATACAACTCCACACACAATTCAATCAACCAGATGCAGCACCTGAGTATATTGGATGCAATTTTCTACTAAATATAGCCAAGAGTTTCTATGAGCAGTTTCTGAATACTGTAATCACATGCTGCAGTTTCACCTTCATTTTGCCATATACAGTAATGCTCATGCTAAATGTCATTATACTGCAACACTATTGACAATAGGGCATATGACTTATTTACTTGAAAAACTGAATATTTGCATTAGTATACAGTACAGGTACTTGATATGAATGTGTGTGTATGATCTCCACCCCTCAAGTAAACTCACCAAGAGTAAATTAATTCCCACACTCTCAGTGAAATTGTGTACTGTACTGGAAGTTCTTGTTTCAGTAACTTCAGGTGCCATTATCCTCCAAGGGGCATCTGATCCATAGCTATGAGACAGCATGTGTAGTCTTGAGGCTACAAGTATAGCCACATGACTACATATGTTTACCCTCAAGACAACATACTGCATGTGTAAACTAAAGGCACAAATTTGTAGCTGTGAGGCTGAAATGTTTAGTCATCATGCCTCTAGCAGTAACAGCAGCAGCATACTTCAGTGTTGTAAATTTGGACCAGAATCATGGCATCATTTGTCGTTCATGTTAGTAGTAGATGTCATAAAGAAATTGTTTGCTCATAATTTGCGAGTCTCCCACTGTGACACTGAACGTGGAAGAAAAACTGGCATTGAAAGAAAAGATTGCAAAAAACTGGATGACAGATCAGGTAATGGATAATTTTCTTGAATCAATAGCATTCAGTTAAAAGAATAAAGAATGTGATGGTTGGGTATTCTTAACTTTTCAGCAGGCAGGGGCTTCCCTCAGCTGAATAAAATCAGTTGGAGTTAACCAGAATAAAATCGTCTGGCACTCACCACAATAAAATACCTAAGTTATTCTTTGCCCCCTAAAGGGTTAAGCTAACTCATGTTCCTAAAAACAGCACAAATGGACCATAGACCACGTAATGGGTTAATTAATGAATACAGTAATCTTGAGTATAGACATGTGTCCACTTCTCCTGAGAGAAACAATGAAAATAATGTTTAAGAGTGATTGTCTTATAGAACAAGGATTCCATGAAGGCCACTTTTCTTCCATAGTCAATTCACATGTGTGTGTGTGTTTGTGTGGCAGATGGTTATATTTTCATGTAAGCAAGTGACATTGCCCCCCTCCCCCTTTCTTGGTGCTATTTTGCGCAAACAGACTTACAAGAACATACAATAAATGAAAAAGACATTGGAATTTATAGTCCATAGAAATACTGTAATACCCTGTATATATATATATATATATATATATATATATATATATATATATATATATATATATATATATATATATATATATATATATATATATATATATATATATATATATATATATATATATATATATATATGCTATAAAGAAGAAAACACCCTGAAGATGTGAATTACGAAAGCGCTGGGAACTTGTGGTTTTCTTCTTCCTTGTGGTTATCAGCATATACCTGATCACGGCACCTACAGTGATTTACTTGCATATATATATATATATATATATATATATATATATATATATATATATATATATATATATATATATATATATATATATATATATATATATATATATATATATATATATATATATATATATATATATATATATATATATATATATATATATATAAAGCCAAAATGTCTAAAGTTGAATACTGTCCCTGCTGTGTACGTACATGTAATAGCTTTGACTGATGTACTGTATAATGTTCTGTATCATGATGTGACTATTATAAGCTCTGCTTTATTTACATGTGTGATTAAAACAGGATTTATATTTAATCTAGAGATGCAAATTGAAAGACAAACTTTTTTAATATTTGTAAGACTTGTAGATTTATATTTGCCATATAAGTAGCACTATAGTGAAGCCTTGTGTAGTTTAGTGGCATTTAACTTTGTTTCCTGCTGTGTTGTTTGACATCATACATAACAGTCACCACTCAGACACATAATGAAACTTGCAACTACTGACACACTCTGTAGAAGCATATAAATTATGTTCCTGACAGAGGCCATCATGATGCTACAAACTAGTATGTCAGACCAATACATGTTGCACTCTAGTACAATATAATTAGATATTATTGTAAAAATATTGTTTTACTCAAAACCAATAAACTTTCAGGAATTAAATTTAATGTTTAATAAGAAATATAAGAAGTAGGAAGTGACCAGTTGTAGTTTATGTTAAGTGTAAGTGAAGCACACTGAAGAAAAGGAAAGAAGTTTTTAGTTTATTTATTGACCAAGAACATTTAGGGTTGTTCTGTTAATCATAAACATTTTGACAATGAGTGTTACAGCTTTCATGTTTCCTTATCTAGCCTGACCAGAATAACACGACCTAGAGAATGAAGTGTTCAACTCACCAGAGACCTCGATGAAGGACAGAACTTATTACTGCAACCAACCAAAAGATCGAAACAAAACAGTGTTGAGCGGCTATGACTGAATCTGTCTGACTTACAATGAATATTACAACACAGCAGCTTTAGTTTTTTGCTCATTATTGTAGCCATTTATACAAACTGTAGTACAGTACTGTAGATTTATAAGGATGTTGGTTGGGTAAAGGTATCTCAGAAGAGCCACAGTGAACATGGTATCACTCTTATAATCTTGTTGTTTGAGTACTGTATTCTGCTCCAAGGTGGAAGTTGTGGTCTGGACTTTCAAAGGTTATAATGATATCTGCTTTTGCTTTTTGTCCTTAACTGGGGATAATAAAAGCATTTGATTACAGGAGTTTTCAAATGTAATTTAAATTAACAATTAGGCTGCCATCTTTGAGTCCACTTCATTATACTGTAGTAGTTAGATGCATTTTTATATCTCGATTTAGGGTTAAAATTGACATAAAAACATTTGATAATCCGGACGAAGCTCTGAATTTTATCTAACACCTCATGTCTGCTCTGGATTACCTTCTGGTGTGTGACTAATCTTAACCATCAGTGCTTCAGAGTAATATTCATCCCCGTGTACTTTAGCGTCAGATCTACAGAGCCAGTCGCTCAATCGTAAATAAATTTGCTTATTTAAAGGACAACTCCAGAGGAAAAACACTTTTCTAATTGACACCCAAATGTTTGAAACCATGTTAAATTGTTAATGGCATTTTCATGACTCAAAAAAATTCATGAAGTACTGTACACAACCACGTTTTCAAAATTTAATTATAAAATATAAAATACTGTAGTACAGTACTTTCTAACATGCTCAAGTGGCTGGTATAGTCACACTAGGTATAAACAATAATTAATGACTCTAGATCAAAGGCCTGTGGTGCAAACCTTGCTTTAATTTGACAAGACTATATGTTCAACTCCCTCCCAGAATGGCAAAAAGACACAGTGGAATGGACCAGTCTTCAGTACAGTACTGGTAGATCTGCACAATTATTTTTTTTATGCAGCTGTATATTGTGCAAGAAAACAATATACTATAGTACTGTACTTTGTCATCATGTAAAGAATAACATAAATAACTCATACTAAATATGATCAGATAAAGCATATAAAATATAAAGATATATAATGGTGGCCAACAGAAAGGATGCATCAAATTATGTATAGCTACAATATTTTGAATATCATTGTCATGGGGTTGTTGTTATTGGTGCTTACATCACTTGTTAGTTCATCTTGATGTCTTATGGCTGACCATCTTTTGTCCAAGTGTATATAAATTAAATTTTCCACTAGAAAACTACTGTATGGGTAAAATTACAACAAAACTTAATGTAGATGATCCTTGAAGAAACATTCAAACTGTTCCCAACATCAGAATACTTGTACTGTACTGTAATATCATCTACAATGGCTGCAATCTTCAATATCTCAAATTTATTAAAAAATAACTGTTGACGTCAGTACAGTATACATCATGCCATTAAGGTGTTACTACAGGCCTTTTGTTATTAATCTCAAATACCACGTGTGACATCCGGGAATAATCTTTGCCATTTTTCACATACACTGTACCTAAAATAACACTGAAAAAAATGTGTCTGGAGTTGACCTTTGAAATTTGGTGAGCTGTGTTTTTGTTTGAAGAAGTTCAACCATGTAATTCTTGTGTCATTTGTAATAAAGCTATTTGTTTCAGTTTAAATATTGGCTATAGCAAACTCAAGTTATTATGTGAAAATTTTTTATTTACATTTTATGTATTTTATTCTAATTACCAGTATATAGTTGTTATGCTTTATTTTGACATTTATAATACCTATTAAATAATTTCAATTGAGTAACCAATATTTTGTCTCATACATTGTGATAATAAACTAAGTGTTGGTAATGACCAAGAATTTATACACAGTAACTTCTTTAAACAAACACTGTCTTAAAAAATATAATTGTTTTTTCAGACAACAAAACCGCAAAAAATAAGAGCTTTTGGAAAAAATGCCACTCAGATTGTGTAGATGCCATTCTCTCACACCCATAGACTGTTTCTGGTCTATTATTTCAGATAATTTTGTAAACGTGTGCAACAAATAAACAAATAATGAGTGAAATAGAATCCTGTTTTATTGATATCATCCTTCATTTTCAATACAGTACTGACTTAATGAACACTAATGAGCCACATGACCAGCACCATCTGTACATGGTACGGTTTATACTTTACAGTCAACCCTCACTTCACGCGGTCCCACATTCCGCGTTTCCATGTTTACGCGGTGCCCCGCCGGAACCCAGGATGCTCACATTCCGCGGTGCGTGTACCCCTTTACGCGGAGTGTCCGGCTAGACGCTATTTTTAGATTCGCCCCACCCGCCTGTTCCCGCCTCCTCCCTCCTCTGCCTCCGCCTGGCCAAGCCGCGCGGTAAGGTTGCGCAGTGCATGTCTCTGTTGCGTTATCACTGACGTCATATGACGTATCGGACTGTGATTGGCCATGCATCCCTACCTCCCTCCACTGCTAGCTGTAATTGGTTTAAAATAATATGACGTGTCCACCCAGGGGAGGGAGGGAGGTAGGAAAGACGACGCTTGACCTAGCCGCGACAGTTTCATCCCTCCAGGCCACACCGTGTAATCGTGCATCCATTGTTCTGTAAAATGGCTTCCGCCGGACCACCACCCCCAGAGAGAAACCTTTCCTTGCCTGGACCCAGCCGCCCTAAGCCCAAGAAGACACGACGTTCCTTGAGCTACGAGGTGAAGTACAAGGTCATCCAAGAGTTAGAGAAAGGAACAAGACAGGTTGATTTGGCGCGCCAGCATGGTGTGAACGAATCTACGATCCGGACGATAAAGAAGGATGCAGCCAAGATAAAGGAGCACATGAAGATCATAAAGTCTACAGGTGCTTCTATGATCAAGTATTTTCACAACCAGGTGTTTCTCAAGACAGAAAAATTACTTGTGAGCTACTTGGTGCGTCAGGCGCGATGGAACATGGCGGTCGACACGCGCTCTGTTAAGGAGTATGCACGTGAACTGTATGCTGCATTGTCACGAAAGATGGGAATTACAGAGCCCAAACCCTTTAATGCTTCCTCTGGGTGGTTACAGAGGTTTAAGATGCGGAACAAGATCACCAATATAAACAGTGGTGGTGAAGAAGCCAGTGCTGACCGTGCTGCGGCTAGGGAATTTCCTCCGTCTTTACGCGAGATTATGGAGGAAGGACAGTACACCGACGACCAGGTGTTTAACATGGACGAATCTGGTCTTTTCAGGAAAAAGCTACCTTTCAAGACCTTCGTTGTGAAGAATGCCAGCAAGATTCGGGGCCGGAAGATGCAGGAGCGCATCACCGTCCTGTTTACCACCAATGCCTCCGGTACCTGTAAGCTCAAGTTATCGGTGATCCACACAGCCCGCAAGCCGCACGCCTACAAGAACATGGACATGACCAAGCTAAATGTCCACTGGCTGACCGCACGTAAGGCGTGGATGTTCTCTACACTGTCCCTCTCCTGGTTTGATGACTGTTTCATTCCCGATGTAAAGAAATTCTGTGAGCAACAGAATGTGCCATTCAAGATTTTGTTGCTGCTGGACAACGCACCAGGACACTCGCCCCTACTGTTAGATCGTCACCCCAACGTAAAAGTGGTCTTCCTTCCTCCCAACACTACGTCTATATTACAGCCCATGGACCAAGAGTTAATCTGCAATGTAAAAGCTGCATTCTCAACAAAAAAATTCCAGCTCCTGAACGACTACACCAACACCAGGGAAGAGTTGCGTAACCTGAGTGACACCACCACAGATAGCAAGAGCGAAGAAGACGAGGATCAACAGTTGGCAGAGCAAAAAATACTTTTCAAACAATTCTGGAGAA